ATATTGTTTTATACCAAGCGAACTATAAATGCACATTAAGTATAAATCCAGAAAAAAAGTCTTCTCTACTAAATATAATATCGATTTTATGATCATTTCGTATAGAAAAAAAGGAAATAGGAAAATTCAACGCTGTTAACTCGTCGGTTTCTAGTTGAAATTGGATAGTTAGCTGTATCGTGCATCTCTTTTTTTTTTAATTGAGAAAAATTCGACACACCCATACACGTTAACGATCGATCCGCGCAATAAATTTTCAACGTTTCCCATCGTGGCGAAGAGAAAAGAAACGGAGATTCACAGTTGACGGAGGAGTTGTGGTGGTACTTTAAAGAACGATTCTATGGTTGCCGTGAAAATGAATATGGGGTAATAAAAGAGGGTAAAGGGCGCGGCCTTCCCTTGTTTTTGAAAGATTCGGGAGTAACGCGGTATACATTTATGACCCTTGTCAAGAAGTAACTTCTTCGTCGAAAAAGAGAAAAAGAGGAAAAGAGAAAGAAAGAGAGAGAGAGAGAGAGAGAGAGAGAAAGAGAGAGAGAAAGAGAAGAATTCGTACTCCTAAACTCACCGAAACAAATGTAGTCGAATGTCTGCCTATTTGCATACTCATTGTACCGTAAGTGCTTCACCCTAACGGCGTGCGGTCGCGCGCTCATAACAGGATACGTTTCGATGACGTAGATGAAAGTGGAGCGAAAATCGGGAACAAGTGGACGTCGCGAATATTTCTGAAATCGTTAGCTACCTTCCTGCTTTTGTAGTAATAGTAGTATAATAGTAGTAGTAGTAGTAGTAGTAGTAGTAGTAGTAGTAGTAGTAGTAGTAGTAGTAGCAGTAGTAGTANTAGTAGTAGTAGTAGTAGTAGTAGTAGTAGTAGTAGTAGTAGTAGTAGTAGTAGCAGTAGTAGTAATAGTAGTAGTAGCAGTAGTAGTAATAGTAGTAATAGTGTTAGTAGTAATAATATGATTATTTCAAACTCGCCACTACCGATCCGTTAAATTTAATTTCTTTTATTCTTCATTTTTAAATACTCCTAATTTTATCCTCACTTAGCGTATTCTCCGAATTTTTACTCTTTTAATCATTCGATAATACTCTTTTCCATGTAACAAAATTTTTGACATATAATTGACACGTCTAAATAAACGCGAAGATAAAAACTACAGAAGTAGGAAAATTAAATGCTAAGTCATTTATTTTATTTCATTTCATGATCAATAGTATTTTAAGGTAAAATACGTAAAATTCGCGAGCTAGAAGAAAAAAAAGAAATACCAGTTATGTTTTCCGTTTTTGTTTTCATAGACTTATTTAATTTGACAAACGACAAACAACAATGACAAACGAGAAGATATTTTTACGATTCCCTTTTCCTATTGCGTTTCCTTCACTCTAGTTTATCGAGAGTTAAACGAGAAAGTAATTCCCGGTAGATCAACTTTTCTTGCATCACCGGATAAAACCTTCACCGCAAAATATATCTCTGCGGTAAGATAAGTCTTCGGTAAATATTTCTTATTTTGTCGAAACATCTTCTTTTAGATCACCGATACTGTAAAAGAAGAATTATATATAGAATCGCAAATAAATATTAATATTTGATTTAATGGAATAGAAAAAGATCGGGAGAGAAAGAATTTTGAAAAATAATCTAATGAATTCTTCGAGATGAAAAGTAGTAGTTACATTGTAAGAAGATAGAAATGGGAAAACGTAAAAGGAAGCTTCACGAACAAAAACGCGGTAGGTGCGTCGCAAATGGCGAATTCGAAAATGGGGAACTCGTTGCAATTAATAATATCGGTAATTGGTGTACGCACGGCGCGTGATGGTGAACTTCAAAGGTCATTGCCTGGTAGCGAGTTTAATTAACGCAATCGAATGAAAATATTCGTGCCGGTGCGAGGGTATGCGTAAAATATGCACACGAACAAAAGTACGTATGTATATTACGGCCGATAATCTGCGTTGGTACGCGCAGTGCCTACGAGTGTGTTGGTTTACGTGTACGCGCAGTGAAGAACGGGGAGAGGCGTACGATCGCGGCTAGTCGCCAACTCATTATGCAAAAGTTCGTTGCATTCCCGCAATTTCAATATTCGTTCAATCCCCGAAAGGTTCGAAGCGTTAAATCGTGGCATTGACCCAGATGCACTTTTCGTTTGCGAATGTATAAATCGCGATCTCGTTGTTTAAATTCACGGCTGGTTGTTAAACGAATAAAGGAGAGCGAGGGAGAGCGAGGGAGAGAGAGGGAGAGAAAGAGAATTTTTGTGATAAATATTACGATTAAGAATATACGTACCTATATATATATATATATACACGTAAAATATCGATTATCATTTCCTTTTTTTCGTCATTTCCAGTATCATTGTACTATATAGCATAACACTTTCGAAGCGATTGAAATAGAAAAGGAAATAATAAAAGTTGCCTATTCTCTTAATCAATTCGTCAATAATGTCTCTTTTCCTGTTACTGAGTTCGTTACAAAACACGCAAACCTCTCCTGTTATATATTTCCTTCTTTTTTCTTTTTTTTTCCTTCCTTTTACCTCTCATTACGTTGCAATGTAACCTCACCTTCGTTTGTTCCGCCCCTTCCATAAATGGTCAGGATCATTTGATTTCGATGGAAAGCAAATCCGTCTTTTTCTCTTAGTCGGCATTTATTATTATCAGAGAAGGACGGGTCCAAATACAAAACTAACGTCGTCCCGGAAGTCAGTGATGCTTTCTGTCAGCGACTGCGAATCGTGATTACCAACGATACCTCTTTTCCTCCGTAAACCCTTCCCTCTTCCTCCTTCTCTTGTCCAATAGTAATTCTCTGTCTGTCTGTCTGTCTGTCTGTCTCTCTCTCTCTCTCTCTCTCTCTCTCTCTCATCTCTATCTCTTACCCTACAATTGTCTTCTCGAGGATAGTAGTGGATGCTCGCACGGTAATTGCGAATCGAGGTAGAGTTGTTAATGCGTCATAGCGTGCGCGTGCGATCTCCAACTCGCTGACGTCTGACGATAAAGTGCAGTCACTACTAAGGCGTGGGAACGAGATGAAGTTATGTGCGCGGGTTTATTTAACCTTCTCCTTTTAACTTTATACGTTTCAGTACTTACAATTAGAAATGATTTTAAACGACATAATATTTTGAATGACGAAGAGAAAAGCAAACAAGCGTTATCGTATTAATGATATAAATTCTATATTTCATTCTTAAAAATAAAGAATCTTAATTGGGTGTCAACATCAGGAAAAACCATTATCGGCTTTTCGACGCGTCACTAATCGCAAAAGGAACGCGGAACAACGAAGATCGGCAATGATGCATAAGGGACGCGCTTAACTGTAGAATTTCTAACGATCATGCTTCGGTAAAAAGGCAGTAACGCTGAGTGTTACGAGAGCATAGACGAAGATAGGTGCGAATTCATGCGTGTCACTCACATCGATAGGTATAACGCTTCTCGTGCGTTGCGAGAGTCTTCGAACGTGGTGCGTTCACAACGACGTCGTATAAGCCGTGCGTATCGAAGTGAGCCAATGAGCCATAGAAAGATAGAGAAAAAGATAAAAAAATTCAAGATGAAAATTATACAAAGAACAAGAGAAATGTACATAGAAATACATATAAATATGTAAATATGCAGAGATGAAGAGAGTAAAAAAAACAGAATGAAAAAAATAGACGGTAAGATAAGGAAAATAGAAAGAGAGGTAATGGGACGAAACGTTTCTAACACGCAAAGATGTTTCGTGTAGGAGACACATGGACTACATCATATCCCTACCTATTGGAGATAGAAGGGTGAGAAAAGGATAAAAGGACATGTGACTTGTCATCGATGTCACGAACGTCGTCATCGAGTCGAATAGAAGGAAGCAAGCAGTCATTTCGTTCCCACAGAGAAATGTATACTAATTAAGGCTTGCATTGTTAGGATCAATGTGCAAAGAAGACATGCTAATTACATCTCGAAGATGTCTTTTTTTAAGCCGCGTCCCTTCTTTTCGACAGGGTAGCCCGTTCCACCTTTCCTCTTCTTTTCTCCTTCCTCAACGCTCGCCTCCACAGACTTCGAGGTGAATGAAGCGCGAATCTCGCGCCCGCTTTCTTTTCCGCGCATGAAAGGGAAGTCATCTCTTTCTTTCTCTTTCTACGTTCCTATATCTCTGTCTCTCCCTTTCGTACGCACGACACACGGTTGCTGTCTCACACGTGTGTATCTTATGCGAATCGACGTCGACTCGTTGCACATACTCTCAGACCTTCCACGCTACATTCTCGGCATTGTGCGCGTCACACACGTGATGCTACGACGTTTCACTCCGTCGCTTTATTCAATCCTTTATATCTGCGAGTGACTTTAATAGTCCTTCTATTACGTCGCCAACTTTTTTACCCCCTTTTTTTCTTTTATTTTCTTTTTTCCTTCTTTTTTTATTTTTTTTTTTTTCATTATTCCTTCTTCTTCTTCTCTTTCCTTGAAAAGGACAGAGTTGTTTCACATTAACATCACGCTTATCTGCGTAATAAAGAGCCTCACTTTTATTCCATTCGAATTGATCGTAAGTGTACGGGGAAACGTTTAGAATCGCCGTCTCGACGCGTTAAATCAAAGTCGTTCGCAAGAAATAAATATTAAGGTCGGAAGAGTTTGTTACTTCGATCGCGAACGTACACTACGTTGTGTTTATTGGCGAATTTGAATCATCTATGTTTACCTAGGAGAATGCGTACGCATCAACGCAGAGATCGTTGATTCGGTCAAATCAAAATATATAACTAAACGCTTTTGCGGCGTAGATCGTAGAAGGTTCTACGATGTTACTCGCATCTCATCTCGATTTGATCGTTTCTCGTTATTAGGTATATATGTACAACGATATTACGTATAATAAAATGCACAATTACAACTTAAGTTACTTCGAAAGAATAAGAATTCTCATAGATATTAATCAGGGACCGTTCACCAATGCGAAATTTGTGTTATAGATTGACGAATGACGCCGTAACCGTGGGCTGGTTGGTGCTCGGATATCAAAACACGGAAGGTAAGTCAAGAAAATCCTAATTTTCGAGATTTTAACGCAGTATTAATAATAAAGTTTCCATGGCTATGAAATTAATAAGTTTAATTCATTGAAAGGGTCGTAATTGTTGTTACAGTTTATCTAATAAAAAAAGGTATTATTTAGAAATATTATTTTTTGTAAGTATTTTAGATAAATAATTTTGTAAACATCGCTCCAAATAGATAAAAAGAATTTGTATTTATTCTTTTCTTTACTCTCATTGCACAAACATGAGCGCGCGCGCACTCACACGCATCCATGTTCATAGTTACTAAAGGAAAGATGTAATAGGAGAGATGTAAGACGACAGACACGATCAAAAGATCGGGTCAAGTTGCATATCTACACTTTTACGCTTCGTTAGGCATTCCTTTGAGGCGAATACATTTCCTCCGTACGTCCGCAAAAAAAGGAAATAAGAAGAGTGAGAGAAAGGGTGAGGGAAAAGAGTCGACAATCTCATAGACAAAAATCTAAGCGACCGCGTAGCGTCGTACTTTGATTCCATCCCTTTTCTTTCGTCTTCTTTTAAAAAGTTTTGTACGCCGTCCTCCCTATATGATTGCTCGGGCAAAGAGCTGAGGTCTTTCGACTCGGCTATATCGTGTAGAGTAAGAGGAGTTGGAATGTGGAGGAGACGTAGAAGGACGAATAGAAGGAGGAAGGGGTGAATGCTTAGAATTTAAAATGCATTTCATATCGTTACGTAGTACCGACTTGCTCGTCGTTCTTCTCTCTTTCTATCTTTCTCTCTCTCTCACTCTCTTTCTACCATTTCGAAGACTCTCGTTTCTCTTGGCCTCTCCGCTCGAACAGACGGCATATATATCTTTATGAACGCATCTGGAGTAGACAAGTGCATTAAAACCTCGGGCGTTAGTTCAAGTTTGAAGAGAGAGGAGAAGGAGGAGGAGGAGGAGAAGGTGGAGGAGGAGGGTTGGGTCGGGTTGTAGGAGGGTAGATGGAGGGCTCAGGAGGACACACAAAGGAATGCAAAGTAAGAACCACCGGGATCCCTTCCTCTCTTTCTCTTTCTCTTCTCTCTCTTCTCAACATCGCTCCCTTCGTCCCTCCACACCCACTCGTCTCCATCCGAGCTGGTATCACCGTCGCCTCTTCCTCCAACTCCATCCATCTCTACCTCCTCCGCAGAATGCGCCGGCTCCTCTTCCTTTACCGTATCGCTTCTCCCGTGGCGGAGGTTACAACGCATTATCATACAAGGCAGCCCTTTCTCCCCTTCCCTTAATTGTTTTCCGCCAAGCTACGTCGCGAGCGAGTTCTACTACCACCACCACCACCAATCTTTCTGCCACTACTACCATCATCTCCTTTTTCTCTTCTCCCAACCCTCTCCTGACCTCTTCATCTTCATCTTCTTCTTCTTCTTCTTCTTCTTCTCCTTCTCCTTCTCCTTCTCCTTCTTCTTCTAACACCACCGTGATCACCTGCTGAGAGAACCAAACAACGCGGCAAGTTTTTTTTTCCCTTTACGAACAAATGTTACTCTGCCTCACCATCGTCTTCTCTCTCAGCTTCATTCCTCTTTTCCTTCTTATAGAACAAGAGGTAAAGCAACGAGCGTGGGTGGTCACTCTCGGAGGGTGCCGAATTTCGCTCTTTTAACACCAATCGACGGTTCCGTAATAGTCGACATCAAAGGATCGCAAAGCTTTGTGCATCGATAATGGCGAGACTTTTCTCTCGAACCGGTGCGAGAGATGTCTACTCTTTCTCTTTCTCACTCTATATATATATATATATCTTTCTGTCTTCTTTTCTCCCTCGAGGACGTTCTCTCATATTACTTTCGATATTTCGACCACAAGTCTACTCTGTTTCTTACTTAATTTATTCTCCGCAAGTTTTCGCGCCTTTTACTGATCGCACCGGCACACTCTTCCGTGATAATTTTTTCCTTTGGGTGGTTGAGGGTTCTTCAACATTACGAATATTTCTTTCTCCCTCTCTCTCTTTCTTTCTTTTTCTTTTTCGATCATTCTCATACTCTTATTCACCCTCCTATCTTTCTCACACCTCGTAATAACGATCGTTCTTTATCTCGCCGCGAAACACTCTCTTGATATCTTTTATACTACTTCTCCCCTTTTTCACATTTTTTTTCCAACCGCTATGGGAAGCTTTCGAAAATTGTTGATAAGAAAATCGATTGAGAGCCAATGATAATGGCGATAAGGCTACAAAGAGGAGACCTTATCGCCAGTGAAATTACCGAACGCAAGCGCGACGTTCCGCGCAACTAATGTTCGTTTTCCTTCAAGTTCCATATCGACATATGTTTAAGATGGTGCCAATTCAAGCGCGATTAACCCCAGGAGAAACGTTGTAACATTTCTCAAACTCTCGTTAAGGGACTTCGATTAGACTGGATTTTGGTCCGCCCTATTTTCGGACACTTCAATAGGCCAATTTACAAAACCTCTTCTTCCTACACAAACATGAGAATTTCGACTAATTATCCTGTTAATCGGCTAACCTTTCCATATTTATCAACGTAATTTATTTGCTGCTAAATATTATAGATAAATTAATTAATCATTGAAACTCTGAAACAATTATAAAAAGTAATGTTATAGTTTCGTTACGAACGAGAAAAAATACCGTTTACATTTATCAATTTAATTAATCATCTTTTGTTTTTACAGTTATTTAAATTGGAATTAGCCTAATATTAATTAAAGTAAAAATAATACAAAGTACATTCGTTTAAACATTATACATCTATTAATATACTTCGAATATTATATAATTTCAATCTGATATTTTATAAGATAAAAATTTCCAATTCAAAGCTATCACTGATCGGGAAAATTGTACTTTAGTTTAAACAATTATATTAAAATTTAACAAATAAACGCATATGATAAAATAATTTCAACAGATACATTATTTCCTGTTTTGTTATTCAATGTTTTTTTTTATATTTTACATACCGTGTGAAAACATTGTACAGCTAGTACAATGCTAATTAATTCTTCCTACCGCTTGGTAAGTTCTTAGATCCTATCTGTTAATTAATAAAGTTAAATATATTAATAAACGTGATCAGAATTACGCATCATCCGTTACGATTCATCCAAATGTCGTGCTATTCTCTAATAGGTTGTTGCTAAATCTTTTTTCTTTTTATTTAAGTGTGGTTATAATGTTAAAACAGGACGTATGGTGTAACTGTATATAGTAATACAAAGAACGTTAAAACAGAACTAAATAACAAATTGATTAGTTTAAACACATTTCATAGATCATTTATTTTACGAATTATATAAATATATAAGCAGATCTGTAAAGATGCAAATTCGTTGTCAATTGTCAAGCCTAATTACCTTGATAGAATATTCTCGTAATAGCAAAATAAACAAATAATTGAAATGAAATTATAAAAGGTGCGCCGCTTATGTCACGATTTTGAAGAGAGGAGGAGACAAGTAAGTCTCGAGCAAAAAGAGGCGCATAAGTGCGCGAACGCGTGACCAGCTTTTATTGAATGCGAGACGAAGCGAATCGAGGAGAATAAAAGAGAAAAGAGAGAGAGAGAGAGAGAGACAGAGAGAGAGAGAGAGAGAGAGATCGAATGGCCGGCAAGCAAGAAGAGAATAGTGAAGGACAATACATCACATCGGCACGTTCTTCCGGAACGATCCTTCTTTTTTTCCACCTACGCTTACCATTTGCGTGCAGATACAAAGTATGCACTGTATATAGACAAATATTTTATAATGCTATGCAAGTACCTCACCCACGAGATTAGTTAAGTGAATGGGGCTGGATCTTCGTTGGCTGGGCCTCTCCTAACATGATTGGACCCCGACCGATTGGTTAGAACGGCCAATCGTATACGAGATAAGCTCTACGCGAGTTAAAAAAAAAAGAAGGAAATAAAGGACTCGGCTAGCTGAAGTTGCGCATTGGGTATGTTGCGACATGATTCGCACGCGATCCGTGCGATAAATCATAGGACGGAAGTCTTTCGAAACGGGAAATGTTGTTCGGTCGACGTGCGATATTGTCTTTCTCTCGTTTTTTTGTTGTTTCTTTTTGGTTTTTTTATTTTTGTTTTCGTTTCTCTCTATTTTTCTTTTTTTTTTTTCGTCATTCGGAGTGTTAGAGGATTAAGGACAAAGTTTGTCGTAGAGTCGCTCGATATCGTATTCATTTTCTCTTTTTAATACGGATGCCTCGCTAGGATTTGACAAATCGTTGCCGTCCGCGTGGGCGGATGTAAGTGATTTCTATCGGTAGGGGTTTTCTAAGAAAAAAAAAATCCGTCGAAGAAAGGAAGATAAAAAGAGATATTAATCGTTAAAACTTAGACACGGCTTCGTGTGTTAATCGTTTCAATACTACGTTATTGTTTCTCTGATCGCGATGTTGTTTACGTAAAACGTGCCAACCGTTTCCGCCGCGAATAGATTTCCAACGTCCTTGGTCGTGTTCTCCCGCTAAAGGAAAATAAATACTGTACGGAATAAATGGAATTTCCATGCGACTTTGCACGCCATTTCCAGCCGATAATTACCGCAAAGTAGGACTCACGTTCTCTCTGTGTCTCTACGTTTAGAAAAACGTTTGAAAATCATCGTATAGCGATGGTCATTTTCCTAATCGCGGAAAAGAACGCACTAGGAATGATAGGGGAGGATCGTTCAGTCATAGAAGAATAAAAAAGAATAAGTTCGCGCGGAAATGAAAATTAAACAAAAGAAATACAAATGAACGCATGGCAATTCTTTGAGCAGATGGTTCAACACGTTAAACGAATATATCGATCTATAAAAACTTAGGAAGCATTATAAAGATTTCATTGCTGTATTAAATTAAGAACAAACTTTACTCGTGAAAATGAAAAACTACAAATAATTATCTTTTACTATAAAAGATTTTACTACAAAAAAGATCGAAATACTCATAGGTTAATAATACGTGTGTGTACGTGTGTGTGTAGGAAGAGACAGATG